TGTGTGTGTGTATGTGTGTGTATGTGTGTGTGTGTATGTGTGTGTGTGTGTGTGTGTATGTGTGTGTGTACATGTAGGCCAGGGCCCTTATTCCTCTGAGGTTTTTCACTGATCCTGGAGCAAGGCTTGGATGCCCTCAAGCCTCAGCGATCCTCCTGTCCCTCACGTCCACAGCACTGGAGTTATAGACTTATGTGTGGCCACCCTGGCTTCATAGCTGTGTGTCAGAGATTTGAACTCAGAACCTCACACTTATGCAGCCAGCCCTGTTAACCACCAAGCCGTATCGTCAGTCTCCAAATGTGGTTTTTAGTTCTGTTCCTTATTTACGTGTATTTATTGAGAACGTATGTGGATGGGCATGTGGAAGTCTCCGTATCGTCAGTCTCCAAATGTGGTTTTTAGTTCTGTTTCTTATTTACGTGTATTTATCGAGAACGTATGTGGATGGGCATGTGGAAGGCAGAGGACAGAAGGACGTGGTTCTTCTTTCCACCTTGTGAGTCTGGGGAGCAAATTCAAGTTGTCAGGCTTGGCGCCAAGTACCCTTAGTCCGTGATCCGTCTCACCTGCTCCCCAGCCGTCTTTCAATTCGGAAGGATCTTTGTGTATAGACCTACTGTTTTAGGAAGTGTCTACTGGTCTCCCTCCAGGAAGACAGCCTGAAAGATTTGGGATGAAGCTACAGTTGGTTTTAGAATTTTCAGGTCTGTTTCATCCCAGAGCCTTTAGTGACACGTATGAACATGATTCCAGGAATATGAAATGCAGAAGACGAAAGAAGATGACTTTCTGAAGTTGTTTGAGAGGTGGAAAGAGGAGGAGAAGGAGAAGCTGCTCGAGGAAATGGAAAAGGTCAAGGAGATGTTCATGAAGGAATTTAAAGAACTGACTTCTAAGAATTCGGCGTTAGAATATGTGAGTATTTATCATAGACCTTTTCGTGGTATTGCTCGCTTTCAGACAGTGTTAGCATGACGTCGTGGCAGAGGATCACATATCTCACCCTGACCGGTAGGCACGGCCCCTCCTACCATGGAGCCTGAGGCACGTAGGAGGCAGAGCGGGTGAACGGATTGTTTTGTTATTGTGGGGGATCTATACAAGGCTCTAGTACAGAACACTGGTGGGTGCGTTTGTTCAGCTCCCAGAAACTTCGTTCTTTCCTTATGTGGTTAGGTTTAAATAGCCTTAAACCACAAACCCTTATCCAAATTCTAGAATGTTCCAAGTAGTGGATGGAAAGGCCGACACAGATCACCAAAGTGTGTGTGTGTGTGGGGGGGGCTTGCCTATCCCGCTCCTCGCCCTGCACCTGTCCTATGAAGAGGATTCGGTCTCTACAGTAAGCAGGCAGAAGGGCTCTGCTCCAGGTGGGAACGGCTGTGGTCCCTATAGAGACATGTGTGATAGAATCACTTTCTGGGGTCAGAACCTTCATCTTCAGGGCCTGGCCAGCCAATTCCTTTAGCTCTGAAACCTCCTAGAGAAAAGGGAGGGCGCCGAGGGCGATCCTTGGGCTCCCTCTAGGGGCCGCACGTCTTAGAAACACCGTGTGACAGTCACGTTGTCTCCTTGGGCTTTCCTCCTCCGTCTGTTGCGGTGTTTCCATCTTACTATTGGTGATCCTAGTGATTTACAGAAGTGCTGCTGGGGCTGTCTCCTGACTAGTCTGAGTTCATGTGGGCAGGGGCTTGGAGATGAGGAGTCAGTCCCGTCATCCCGCACCCCCACCCGGGCTGTCTCCTGACTAGTCTGAGTTCATGTGGGCGGGGGCTTGGAGATGAGGAGTCAGTCCCGTCATCCCGCACCCCCCACCCGTGGTCCTCACCATCTCTGACTTTTCACTTTGGCCTCACCGGTAGTGTTGGTGGGAACAGGCTTCTGCCCTGAAAAGCTCCTTTGCATTTGAGTGGTTGCTGTGATCACACAGAGGGTAGACTCCCACCCTTCCATTTTCTGATGGTAACTTTATTGCCTTTGCTGTCTGCACTGTTTTTTCTTCTTCTTCTTTTTCTACTCTTAACTTTGAGAAAATTAAAAATCTAGTCCTAGTGAATTTATTGCTATGGTCCCCTGGATGGACCTTCCATTACAGTCTTAGCTGTCACGGGGGCATGGTGATATACCCCAGGAGTCCTGCACCCAAGAGACTGGGATGGGGTCAGCAAGAGTTCAAGGCCAGCTTGAGCAGCAAAGCCAGATCTGCCTCAAAACAAACAGACAGAAAGGGACAGGTACACCCAGTTCCTCTCACAAATGTTGTCTTCCTGTTAGAAATGTAAAGACCCATTGTCAAAGGCCAGAAAGTTGGTTTGGGGCCAAAGAGGTAGCTCAGCGAGTGAAGCATTTGCTGTGTAAGACTGCTGACCAAGCTTTTGGGGGGATGGTTGACCCAAGATCAGTCCCCCAAATCCACATGAAGGTAGAAAGAGAGGGCAGACTCCACGGCTGTCCTCTGAGAGCCATGCACACTGTGGCATGTCCTACCCACTCCCCCAAGAGTAAACCATTTTTTAATAATGAGTTTAGTTTTCCTTTCTGCTTTTTAATCCTATATGCACTCTGATGGAAAGAAACATCAAAGATTAGAGAGAGGAAGCATGGGACAGGCAGGAGGACTGTGTGGGAGCATTTGTTTGGAAGGGCGTTAGAGTTAAATGTGGCTTTGTGCTCGTGAGCTTTGTCACTGTCTCAGATAAATGCGTAGCGTGTCTACCGGTGACTCTTTTTCCCTGTTTACAGCAATTGTTAGAAATACAGAAGTCCAATATGAAGTTCAAGTCCAACATCGGCTCCTTGAGAGACGCTCATGAGTGTAAAGAAGATCACCTCCCGAGTCCCCAGGATCTCCAGAACATGCTTCAGCTCCTGGACAGCCAGGTGTGGCATGGCTGATGACCGCAGCCACAACTTACAGCATTCATTTGGTTGCTTCTGCTTGCATCTGCATGAGGTTATTGTGCAGTGTGTATATAGGCCGGAAGGAAGGCACTGGATCCCAAGGAACTGGAATTGCAGATAGCCTTGATCCAGAAAGGGGACGCTGAGCTCAGGACCTCCGCAAGTGCGGTTAACACTCTTCACCACTGGTTTTTTCCTTAATGAGTTCATTCACACCAAATGTGTTTGCTTCGTTTATTTTTCTCTTGTATCTCAACACATGCCTAACTCAGAACAGGTGTTGATTCATAGGTGTGCCTATAAAACAACAGAAAAAAATTTCAGTTTTAACTATGAAAATGTCAGTCTCAACTTGTAAGTGTCCTTAGTCAATTCGCCTTGTTATTTAATGTCTTTCCTCTTTCAGGTGTAGACCTCACTTTCTAAAAACTGCATATCGAAGCTTCAAACTTATCCTTAGTTGACGTATAGCTCTACATTGGCAAACTGATACCTTTTGTATATTTTATTCTCATTTGGAAGTCAGACTCCATAATCACTCTATAAAAGTTGTTTTATCTCAGTGGTTTATGGAAAGCAATTAAAAATTAAAAAGGCTAAGGATCTAGATAAGTGGTACAGCCTGTGTGAGGCCTCACATTCAGTGTCCACTCTGTGTTGGAGGGGTTATAACCTATGAATTTGATAATAATAATTTTAAAAGCCGTCGAGTCACTGAGCCTACTCACAGGGTAAAGGTTTTTGCTAACCAAGCTTGATGACCTAGGTTCAAATCCCGGGGCCCACATGGGAAAGGAATAAACTGACTCTCATAGGTTGTCTCCAGACCTTCATATATGTGCAGTGTCAATGCTTGACCTTGCATGTACACACACGGGTGCATACATGTATGCACAACAAATAAACATAATAAAACATTAAGAAAAATAAACCTATAAAATTTTTAAATGGTAAGAACATTTTGAAATATGATCGCCGTTTCTTGTTCTGATGCTGCATCTTGTCTGCCTCCCTTAAATGTACCTTCTTCATCACAGCTGGCTGTGCATGTCATCACCCTGTCTGCCTGTAACCTTTCGGTGACACCACCTCCCTGTGTCCCCCGTGCCCCACATTTCCCGCCCTGGCTAGCAACAAGGCCTTGTGTCCCACTGGACTTTAAAATTTGCAATGATGATCTTCCCTCTGCCCCAGGGTCCTCTTTCTACACCAGTGGTTCTCAGCCTGGGGGTTGCAAGCCCTTGGGTTGCAAATGACCCTTTCGCAGGGGCCCGCCTAAGACCATCAGCATATCAGACGTTTACATTATGATTCATAGCAGTATCAGAACTACAGTTATGAAGTAGCCATGGAAATAATTCTATGGTTGGGAGCCGCCACCACATGAGGAACTGTGTGGTGAGGTACATAAAGGGTCGCAGCCTTGGGAAGGTTGAGAGCCACTGCTCTAGAGAATGACTCTCCGTTCCCCACCATGGCCCTGCTGCCCTTCGTTGCTGCCTGGGACCTTTCTACTTTTAAGATCTGTCTCACATTGATCCCCCAGGATCACTGGAACACTACCTCACAAGGTTTTCCTGAGTCTCCTTTAGACTATAGCGTTTGTTTGATCAGAACTTAGTTACATACATTCAACAGGAGTTCTGGCATCACCGTGTCCACCCCTTGCCCATACCGAGTGGGGGGCGTCCTTCAAATCCTCCACGCCGCCGGTGGTTGCTCAGCCAGTTCCTGAGCATGAGAAAGCTGGGAGATGGCCTACACTGTTGACATTTGTTCTCCACTGATATACTGTCCTGCATGACCTGACTTGCCTGTCAGTAAGACCCAGAAACCTTAGTTCTTTGCCCCCCACTCCCCAGTCATTGGAGAAGAAATGACCTAAATTAAGAAAATGCCTCATAAGATCCAGCTATAGACAAACCTGTAGAAGTTTGTCTTAATTTGTGATCAGTGGGCAGGGTGGGGCCCAGACTGTGGTGGGTAGTGCCATTCCTGGGCAGGTGGTCCTGGTTCTATAAGAAAGCAGACTGAGCAAGCTATTGGGGAGCAAGCCAGTAAGCATCACTGCTTCATGGCCTCTGCATCAACTGCTACAGACGAACCTCTTTTTTCTCTCCTCAAGGCGAACAAGTGGACAGATCGATTTCAAGTTCTCAGTGAGGATCACAGCAAGGAGAAGGTACAGGTAAGACTGAGAATCCAGGAGCCCCATCTGGTCAGCTCCCCTGTCCCTGTCTCTCCTGCTGAGGATGGAATCCAGGGCCTCAAGCATGCTTAGGCAGGTGCTGTGTTTCTAAGCCACACACACATTACACACATGCACAAATTGGCCATTTTGAAAAGAATTTCTAATTAACTCAAATAATGAAGGTAGTATTTTCCTACTTAACATTTCTGGAGAAATGTGTAAAAAACCCTAGGATTATTTATAATTTTAATACAGAATTAACCGCTGCTACTCCTTTGTAAGTTTCTCTTCAATTTTCTCTCTATATTATAAGTGCTGCATGTCTTTTTGCAAACGATTTTCTTTGTCCTTTGAGACTCTCACACATATATCCAGTGTATTTTGACCTTACTCATCCCTAGCTCCACCCCCAGCTCATTCTGGTCGTGGGCTTCACCACTGTGTCCCCTCCTCCTCCTCACTTCATGTCTCCTTTCTACAATCTGTTCCAAAAACAACCCGCTGATTCCAGTTAGTGTTGCCCATGTGCCACCCACTGGGCACCCGCAGCCTCCCAGGGGCCACACCATTAATGAGAAGTGGCTCCATCCCTTCCAGCAGCTCCTCCACTCCAGATGGGGCTTCATGAGCTTCTCCCCTGTCCATGCTGGATTGTTGACTGGCTTTATCTAAGGTGGGCAATCACAGCGTCCTTGAGTTCCTGAGTGCAACCGCTTTGTCATCGCTAGATGACTCGGGATCCTGCCCCCCTTTCTAAGTCCAGACTCAGAGAAACACAACAATTCCCTCTTCGTTTCTTTGTTTCTTCTTTCTTTGTTTCTTTGCTTCTTTGCTCCTTCTCTTAAGCTCTGTGCCCTTCACCATGTGACCATTTGCAAATGGCGTAGTTTTCCCTTCTCCTTTTTTCCATCTTTCCCCTCCAGGCTGCTGCCAAAACTTGCGGCTCGCCTGACATGCCACTCTTAAACGCTAACAAAAGTGTCCTCAAGTCTTCTTCTGAGTATGCTTTTAAATTCTTTTATTAACTAGGCTAAACCCAAAGAGGACACCAATTTCCTGGGGACTACATCATGTCCAGCTGTTTTATAGATGGGTCCTCCCATCTCTGTCCCTTACACTCTTCCTCCGCTCTCTTCTCTGAGCCTTGGGTAGTGTGTGGGGGGGTGGGTGGGTGGGTGGGGCAAATGTCCTGTTTATGGATGAACACCCCACAATCGCTTATCCTCTTTGATGAGTTGTGAATCTTTGTATTAACCACGGTCCACTGCAGAGAGAAGCATCTCTAGTGAGGGTGGAGAGCTATGGTAACCTAAAGGTATAAAGAAGGTATGTAGAAGCATTGGATACCATGCCCTTAGCAAGATGCTAGTAGCAGGTTTTCCAACCACAGTTTCTTGGCCTGCTTTCCAGTACCAAGCACGAGTTCCTTCCTGTGGAGCAGGCCTTTAACCTGATCAGAACGTCCATGCCGCAATTGCCCCATGTGCTTCTCTAAGGCTACGTTCCCAGAACTATAAACCCCCACATACAGATAGATCCTTACAAAATGTGCATTTGTTCTTTCTAGGTAATGGATGCTTTGTGCTTAAAAAATACCGTCCAACGTCATTTTATTGGCTTTGTGATGATCTTAGGTGTTCATGTGTTCATCATTTCTGTTATTGAATTGATATATCTGTTTTTTTCACATTTTTAAGCTGGAACATAAATAAAAGACTGTTAATATTAACAGTCTAATGAAAACAACACGTTGACGTGAAAGTGATTCCTTGATTCTTGTTCACTGAGTATAGCAGAAAATTCATTGTTAATGTTTCCACCAGTACAAAGTACCTAAAGTAGATGTATTTGAGAATATCTTAAGGTAGGAAATCTTGTTTATTTTTTTTAAATAATATTATCTTTTGTGCCCTCTGTATTGCTACAGATCTTTTCCGCACAGAGCATCTTGTTTCCTCATCCACATATTTCCTAAAATAATTCCCTCATGTAGTTAGTACTCAATACTCCTTTCATACAGTACTAAGCAGAATATCATATTACTAAAGATTATATGGTCATGTGTGTATGTATGTGTGTGTGTGCATGTGTGTGTGTACGCATGTTCACATGCCATGTG